ATATAAATATCAGATATGGTGAATTGGAAGCATCACCATACTACCATAGGATCTTCTTCCAAATTCGAGCTAAAAATCTATCATCTACACTCCATAATCGGCACTTTCTTCAAGATTTCACAGATACACACCTATCGCTAAAGCAAAAATGTCCATACGTAGATGGAATGCTAGTAAAATTGATCACTTTTACCTGCTGCAGGTAGGTAGTACAAAAACCTCTTCTCCAGAGCTTATCTGCCGCTACTATGAGGTACATTTTTACCTAGGAATCGTTTGACGTGTCGACGAGCACGTCCCAACCCAACAGTTTTAATTTATACCTTAGGACTAATTAATTGGGGATGCCTTAAGTGTGTGAAGAAGGTTTCTCTATGTATCTGTACTTGTAACCTAACAAAAATAGGGGGTAATTTATTCGTAAATCACTACAGCTACACGAAACCCTTACCTCATTAAACGTAATTAGCTAGCCCATAAAGTATAGATATGGGTAGGAAATATACACAAAGACAGTCCATTAAATTGGTGTTAGGTCACCAAACTTTTGTCATTTAAAGGTGTTAGATGAGTTTATTGGGTGTCGTTCGATATGTCGGAATTATTATTACATTCTTCTGTACGGTATAATAGGTTTTAATCTCTTCGATAATACTCAAAAAGGATAAAAAACGAAAAATTTTCCAATGTATTTTTCGAAAACTAACCACCATATATCATCGTAAGATGGCGTCGTCGTCGGTCGAGCGAGGGCTCGGGGCATTGTTGCCGCTTGCGTGTGTCGCGGATTACGGTGTTGCCCAGAGAATAATATATTATTTTGTTACGCATACCAAAATCTAAAAAATGTACACAAAGATCTTTAAAATCTATTAGATTTTCGATATACATAATTGCGATTACGTATAGGAAACGGGAGACTTTTTAGCGAACAATAAGTGGCTGCTCTGTGTACACCGGGTGTACACCGTCGTACTCTCGCCGGAAACTTCCGACCATTCTAGCTTCTCTCATATAAAATTTTGTCTATGGTCGACATCTGTCAAATGTCAAAGTTATTGACGTTCGCTGAATATAGATGGCGCTGTCAAGAGAAAACCTATATCGGCCGCCATTTTATATCCAGAATTTTATTGAAAATTTTGAATTTCGGCCCCAAAAATGAAGGAATAGTCACTCGAGAAATGTTTATTTATGAAAAATACATAAGTTAACACATTATAGATACAAAAAAATGACATGCAAATCATTACGCACCCATCAATTAAGCTGCTTTGCACCGAACAGTCCAAGTTTAGGGTGTCCTCTGTCCTTTTATATTCCAATAAACTGTTTTAACGATTCGAATTCGTCTCCGTCACAACGTTGTATTGTGTAAAAAGGCTTGACCAATAAGCATTTCGCTATTTCATACAATCTCCTTTAATATAAATATCAGATATGGTGAATTGGAAGCATCACCATACTACCATAGGATCTTCTTCCAAATTCGAGCTAAAAATCTATCATCTACACTCCATAATCGGCACTTTCTTCAAGATTTCACAGATACACACCTATCGCTAAAGCAAAAATGTCCATACGTAGATGGAATGCTAGTAAAATTGATCACTTTTACCTGCTGCAGGTAGGTAGTACAAAAACCTCTTCTCCAGAGCTTATCTGCCGCTACTATGAGGTACATTTTTACCTAGGAATCGTTTGACGTGTCGACGAGCACGTTCCAACCCAACAGTTTTAATTTATACCTTAGGACTAATTAATTGGGGATGCCTTAAGTGTGTGAAGAAGGTTTCTCTATGTATCTGTACTTGTAACCTAACAAAAATAGGGGGTAATTTATTCGTAAATCACTACAGCTACACGAAACCCTTACCTCATTAAACGTAATTAGCTAGCCCATAAAGTATAGATATGGGTAGGAAATATACACAAAGACAGTCCATTAAATTGGTGTTAGGTCACCAAACTTTTGTCATTTAAAGGTGTTAGATGAGTTTATTGGGTGTCGTTCGATATGTCGGAATTATTATTACATTCTTCTGTACGGTATAATAGGTTTTAATCTCTTCGATAATACTCAAAAAGGATAAAAAACGAAAAATTTTCCAATGTATTTTTCGAAAACTAACCACCATATATCATCGTAAGATGGCGTCGTCGTCGGTCGAGCGAGGGCTCGGGGCAATGTTGCCGCTTGCGTGTGTCGCGGATTACGGTGTTGCCCAGAGAATAATATATTATTTTGTTACGCATACCAATGTCTAAAAAATGTAAAATCTATTAGATTTTCGATATACATAATTGCGATTACGTATAGGAAACGGGAGACTTTTTAGCGAACAATAAGTGGCTGCTCTGTGTACACCGGGTGTACACCGTCGTACTCTCGCCGGAAACTTCCGACCATAATTGCTTCTCTCTAATAAAATTTTGTCTATGGTCGACATCTGTCAAATGTCAAAGTTATTGACGTTCGCTGAATATAGATGGCGCTGTCAAGAGAAAACCTATATCGGCCGCCATTTTATATCCAGAATTTTATTGAAAATTTTGAATTTCGGCCCCAAAAATGAAGGAATAGTCACTCGAGAAATGTTTATTTATGAAAAATACATAAGTTAACACATTATAGATACAAAAAAATGACATGCAAATCATTACGCACCCATCAATTAAGCTGCTTTGCACCGAACAGTCCAAGTTTAGGGTGTCCTCTGTCCTTTTATATTCCAATAAACTGTTTTAACGATTCGAATTCGTCTCCGTCACAACGTTGTATTGTGTAAAAAGGCTTGTCCAATAAGCATTTCGCTATTTCATACAATCTCCTTTAATATAAATATCAGATATGGTGAATTGGAAGCATCACCATACTACCATAGGATCTTCTTCCAAATTCGAGCTAAAAATCTATCATCTACACTCCATAATCGGCACTTTCTTCAAGATTTCACAGATACACACCTATCGCTAAAGCAAAAATGTCCATACGTAGATGGAATGCTAGTAAAATTGATCACTTTTACCTGCTGCAGGTAGGTAGTACAAAAACCTCTTCTCCAGAGCTTATCTGCCGCTACTATGAGGTACATTTTTACCTAGGAATCGTTTGACGTGTCGACGAGCACGTCCCAACCCAACAGTTTTAATTTATACCTTAGGACTAATTAATTGGGGATGCCTTAAGTGTGTGAAGAAGGTTTCTCTATGTATCTGTACTTGTAACCTAACAAAAATAGGGGGTAATTTATTCGTAAATCACTACAGCTACACGAAACCCTTACCTCATTAAACGTAATTAGCTAGCCCATAAAGTATAGATATGGGTAGGAAATATACACAAAGACAGTCCATTAAATTGGTGTTAGGTCACCAAACTTTTGTCATTTAAAGGTGTTAGATGAGTTTATTGGGTGTCGTTCGATATGTCGGAATTATTATTACATTCTTCTGTACGGTATAATAGGTTTTAATCTCTTCGATAATACTCAAAAAGGATAAAAAACGAAAAATTTTCCAATGTATTTTTCGAAAACTAACCACCATATATCATCGTAAGATGGCGTCGTCGTCGGTCGAGCGAGGGCTCGGGGCAATGTTGCCGCTTGCGTGTGTCGCGGATTACGGTGTTGCCCAGAGAATAATATATTATTTTGTTACGCATACCAATGTCTAAAAAATGTACACAAAGATCTTTAAAATCTATTAGATTTTCGATATACATAATTGCGATTACGTATAGGAAACGGGAGACTTTTTAGCGAACAATAAGTGGCTGCTCTGTGTACACCGGGTGTACACCGTCGTACTCTCGCCGGAAACTTCCGACCATACTTGCGTCTCTCATATAAAATTTTGTCTATGGTCGACATCTGTCAAAGTTATTGACGTTCGCTGAATATAGATGGCGCTGTCAAGAGAAAACCTATATCGGCCGCCATTTTATATCCAGAATTTTATTGAAAATTTTGAATTTCGGCCCCAAAAATGAAGGAATAGTCACTCGAGAAATGTTTATTTATGAAAAATACATAAGTTAACACATTATAGATACAAAAAAATGACATGCAAATCATTACGCACCCATCAATTAAGCTGCTTTGCACCGAACAGTCCAAGTTTAGGGTGTCCTCTGTCCTTTTATATTCCAATAAACTGTTTTAACGATTCGAATTCGTCTCCGTCACAACGTTGTATTGTGTAAAAAGGCTTGTCCAATAAGCATTTCGCTATTTCATACAATCTCCTTTAATATAAATATCAGATATGGTGAATTGGAAGCATCACCATACTACCATAGGATCTTCTTCCAAATTCGAGCTAAAAATCTATCATCTACACTCCATAATCGGCACTTTCTTCAAGATTTCACAGATACACACCTATCGGTAAAGCAAAAATGTCCATACGTAGATGGAATGCTAGTAAAATTGATCACTTTTACCTGCTGCAGGTAGGTAGTACAAAAACCTCTTCTCCAGAGCTTATCTGCCGCTA